GTACAAAAGGTCAGGGTAGGGGTGGGCAGAAAGACCAGAGAAGCAGCTAGAAGCTAGAGTCTAAATGCACTAGGGTTCCAGGCTGGTGGGTTTGGACTTTATTCTGAGGGTGATGGGAAACACAGGATGAAGAGCAGGATGAGACGTGAGTGTCAGAAGAAACCACCGGGGACATGGGAAAGGAGTGAATAGGCTGTCGATGCTGTGAAATAGATGAGACAGGATGGCAGTTGGACTGGGAAAGGTAGGGAGAGAAGGTGGGAGGATGGATTTGAAGGTCACCGAGGACAGAGAGGGACAGCACTCACTGCGTTTCTCTCCATTTGCTCAGCAAGTATTTCCCAAGACCCGCTGTGTGGCAGGTTCTCTGCTCGGTGATACTAGGGGGAGCAGGGAGGATTCAGAGCCTGCCACACCCTCCAGGGGCTCCCAGCCTGGTGGGAAGACAGACCTAAACACAGATGAGGAGGAAGTGGTTGGCAACGGTGCCAGGCTCCACCAGCTTCTCTCTTGATAACATGGAGCAGCGGAAAGCCGTAGAACAGAGGAGGGATGGGACCACAACTGGGTGTTGGGAATTTCCCTCTGGGGTCCCTGTGGTGGACAGGAAAGACCGGTGGGCAGGGGACCAGGGAAGAATTCCATGAGGGCAGTGTTGGAAAGAGATTCTGGGAAATGTGGGGAAAGGAATACAACTCGCAGGACAGAGGGGTACTTACTATAGGGATGATAAACGGAGAGGACTGGAAGAGGTGGCATTAAAAGACACAAACTTCGGAGGAGAAGGGGAGCAGAGCTGGCTAGGGGGTATTGGATTCTACTGTCCAAAAGCCAAACATACAGCAAGACAGAGGTGGAGCATGGGCAGAAGGCAGAGGGATGGTAGAGGTGGGGGAGATCAGGGCAACAGAGGCCCAAACTGAGTGAGTTACAGGGACAGAGGAAAAAAAGACACCAGACAGGGGAGGAAAGGGGGCAGGGGAGGGGCTGGCACAACAATGTCCAAGTCAGGTCAGAGAAGTCTCAGAGAAGCAAACATATATACACACACACAGAGATGGAGGGAGAAAGATGCAAGGGGACGTGCCCAGAAAGAAAGGTGGGGATTCAGAAGTGTGATTAGGGTATAGGGATGATCCATTTCTTTCGTTTGTTTCAGTATTCAAGAAATCGTTATTGAGTGCCCATCTCTTCTAGGCCAGTCTAGGTGCAGGGAATGTTCAAGGGAACAGATGGCCAGGGTTTTTACTGTCCTGGAACTCACAAGAGAGACACACAAGAAACAATAAGAAATCTCAGTTACAGAGAAGTGTTTCTAAAATGAAAAGGAAAAAAGGAAAGAGAATTCCCTGGTGGTCCAGTGGTTAGGATTCCAAGCTTTCAACGCCGTGGCCGGGGCTCAGTCCCTGGTGAGAGAACTGACATCCCACAAGCCACAAGATGTGTCTAAAAAAAAAAAAAGTGAAGCAGGACGTGGTGTCTTCAGATGAGGAACCTCAGGAAGAACCCACTACAGAGGTAACAAGGGTTGTGAGAAGGAAAGGCACTCACCAAACATTCCGGCCAAGCAGTGATGCAGAGCCCTGAGAAAGCCACCCGTTTTCCAGAAGACCCCATGGAGGGCAGAGGAAGAAGGGTGAGCAAATTAGGCTGAGGTCCGAAGCGTGGGCTGGGGGCCCATCGTGTGGGGGCTTGTAGCTCTGGGAGGAAATCTGAATTTTACTCTAGACTCAGTGGGATGAGCATAAGAATGACAGCCCCTATTTTTATTTAAAAACAAAGTAACAGACCCACATTGCTGTGCTGAGAAGAGATTTGGGAGTGAAGTTGGAAGGAAGGAGTTAAGAGGGTGTCGTCCTTTTCCAGCTGGGGCTGCAGCTGGCCTGGACTAATGTGGAGGAACAGGGCGTGAGATTGTGGAGGCAGGGTCTGTGGTGGTGGCTGCAAACTGGATGTAATAGAGGAGGGAAAGAAGAACCAAAGAAAGAGAGAAAAGGGAATGCTTTTAACTGGATCTGTGGAGCTTGGGTGGTGCTGCTCTGTGCTGCCTGGAAGGGGGTCATGGGGGAGAAGGGATTATGCGGGAGGAGCCAAGCAACCTTCTTGGGACGAGACAATCTGAGATGCCTATGAGACATCCAAGCCTAGGTATCAGATAGCCAGTTGGACATTTGAGACTGAAGCTTGGGGGAGAAGTCGTGGTTGGAAATCTAAGTTTTGGAAATGTCAGCAGAGAGGAGACAGCATGTTTAAAGCCCCAGGACTGGATGAGGTGACCTAGGAGATGAGTGTGGAGGACACAGAAAGGATCCTGGCCAGGGACTCGGGGTGGGGGAGGCATCTCCGTGGGGGCGAGAGGAAGGAGGATGTAGTTAAAGGGGCAAAGAGTGACCGTGAAGTAGGCAGAGACTGTGAAGTTGGCAACTAGCCAAATGCTACAGAGAACCAGGAGAGGATTCATGGAGCAAAGTGGCCATGGGTTAGATAACATGACCTTGACCTTGACACGTGGCCATCGCCATGCAGTGGGGGGGACTGGAGTCCTGCTTGAGTGAGGGGAAGGAAGAGAGTCACAGAGGGGAGGTGGAGGGAAGGGGAGGTCATCCTTTTAGCATGAAACTGTCAAGAGCTCTCCGGCCCAAGGAAGCTCACACCCTTTCTGTGACAGAAGTAGGAAGGGCTGCGTTCGGGAAATGGGAGAAAGGCAATTGCATGCTGAAAGGACGGAGCCATGGTCGCTGGCGAGACTGAGAGCGATGGGGAGACCGGGGCGGGAGGGGAGCACAGAGGCAGGGCAGAGGTGCTGCAGAAGGGTGTCTGATTTCTCACCACGATCGGAATCACATCCCAGGGCGATACGTGCCCCAACGGAAGCGGCACAGGGTGGACAGACAGGGTGAGGGTGCACGGGGCCGGCAGGAGCGGCCAGCCAGGGGAGAAGGAGCTGGGGAGAGGTGGGTCCCACTGGGCGGTCCCCGAGGGGCTGAGGCGGGGAGTGGGGTGATGATCAGGCCCCGCTGCCACTCCACACGGATGTCTCATCCTGTCCCCGGGGGAGCCGGAACTGCATGGACGGTCCCCCGGGGGTGCCCCGTCTAATAAACTCGGTGAAGAGGACTGCGGCTCTGGATCCCGTGCCCAGGGCACCAGCTTCTGCCTGAGGCCTGCCCTTTCTCCCTCCTGGGGAGCCGAGGCCCCCAGCGTGGGGTGCTGTGCTTCCTTCAACATGCAAGGGATTTGGGCCCCCGGCCCCTCCTCCCTCAGACCCAGAGTGCAGACCCCCAGCCCCTCCTCCCTCAGACCCGGGGGTCCAGAGCCCTGGGCCCTTCTCTCAGCCTCAGGAGTCAAAGTCCCCAGGTTTCTTCTCTTTCAGGGACCCGAGAACCCTGGCCGCAGCTTTCTCCTCCCTCAGACCCAACAGTCGGGTTTCCAGGCGGGCTCGCTCGGCCCGGGTTCCCCGCCCGTTCCTGCCCGCGCCAACCCCCAGCCCACCCCTCCCCCCGCCCTCGCCAGGAGATCGGACCCTCAACTCCCGCCTGCGTCCTAAGGAAGCAGACGTCCCTCCGGGCTCCTCTGGGGTCGAGACCCCGCCCCCAGCCCCTCCTCCGCGGGCAGCCTTCCTCCTCCCCGCCCCTCGTCCCCTTAAAATACCCCGGGTCCCTATGGCAACGGGAGCGGGCGACAGGTGCGGGTGTTATTTACGGGTCGAGCCCGAAATAGCCGGCGAGGGTGCAGGGGGCGGCGGATGGGGGCGAGGCCCCGAGGGCGCAGAGCGGCCGGGCGGGCGGGCGGCGGCGCGCGGAGCCGGCGGTTCGGAGGCCTCGCGGAGCTGGGGGCGGCGCGGCGCGGAGGCAGGAGAGCCCGCGGGGTCCCTGCCCGGGAACCGGGGGTGGGAGGCCCGAGGGAGGCGCCCGGCCTGGAGCAGGCCCGGCCCGGCCGGCCCTGGGAGCCCGGGGGAGGGGGAGGCGAGCGATCGCAAAGGGACGCCCAGTTCGTTCCGGGCCCCAGCCGTCCTTCGAACCGCGGCGGGACGTGGTCCCCACTTTCTAAGCCGCGGTGCGGACCACAGCCCCTTCATCTGAGCCCCAGTGCGGGCCCCGGGTCCCCCTCCCGGGTCTCGGGTTGGGGGTATCCCTCAGCTCCCTTCTCTGGGCCCCACGGTCTTCTCGGCCCCCGGTCCCCTCACAGCCCCCGGGCAGATCTTCTCCGCTCTCCTCTCTGAAGGGCCAGGGAGAAGCTCCCACACCCACTTTCTGGAATTCCAGCAGGTCCCCAGCTTCCTTGCTCTGAACCCCAGCCAGGACTTTGCTGACCCCTCTCTGTGAAAGTTGGGGGGTCCTACTGCCTCTCTGACCTCCCCTTCGGAACCCTCTGCACCCCAGTTTTTCCTCTTCTGAACCCAGAGGGGACCCAACTCTTTCTCAGACTCTGAGCCCAAAAGAAGCCAGGAAGCATCTCCCCACCCCACCCCCACACACGAGGACTTCAGCTCCCCTTCCTGAGAACCCCAAACTCTGAGCCTTAGGAGGAAGCTCGGATCCTTCCTCCCACCCCAGGAAACACAGTTTCCCTGTGGAAACACAGATTCCTCCCAGTGGGGACCCCAGAGCTGATCCTCAGAGCTTCCGCTGACCCTCAGTTCCTCCTCCTTCTGTAACCCTCCCAACCCCGCTCCAGGGTACCCAGGTTCTGGCCCTGAGGCTGGGGGAACTTTGCTTTCCTCTGATCCCATTTTCTTTGCTGAGCTTCTCTGGGTACCCGACCTCCCACCCCCCCGCCAATCTCAGAGGCTTCTCAGTACAGGATCTAGTATTTTCTCGGTATAGTATATTATCTAGTATATTAAGCCCCAGAAGTGACCTCGACTTCCCCATCTGAGGTTCCTGGGGGGACTCAGCCCCTCACCCCTGCTGCTAGACCCCAGGCGCGCGCCCCCCGCAGAAGCCCGCCTCAGCTCTGCCTTCTCGGCCCCGGAGCCCCACCGCCCGCCAGGCGCGATGATGATGTGGTCCAACTTCTTCCTGCAAGAGGAGAACCGCCGGCGGGGTGCCGCGGCCCGGCAGCGGGCTCGCGGGCAGCCCAAGGCCCAGATGACCCCGGAGCGCGAGGGCAAGATCAAGCTGGCGCTGCTGCTGACCTCCGTGGGCGCCACGCTGGCCGTGCTGGCCGTCGGCACCGAGTTCTGGGTGGAGCTCAACACGTACCGGGACAACGGCAGCGCCGTCTGCGACGCGGCGCACCTGGGCCTCTGGAAGATGTGCACGAAGCGACTGTGGCAGGCGGACGTGCCCGCGGGCAGGGACACCTGCGGGCCCGCCGAGCTGCCCGGAGGTGAGGCCGCCGCCCGCCCCGCGCGGGGGCTGGGATCCCCGCAGGCCGCCGAGAGGCCTCTGTCCAAGACAGCCGAGCCCCAGAGAGGGCGAGCTTGCACCCTCAGAAGGAGCCCCCCGACCCTGCCCACCTCAGCCTGTGCTCCTGGGAGTAACTCTGCCCCAGGAGCACACCCTGCGGAGAGGGAGTCTGTACCCCCAAACTAGCCTGCGTCCCCAGACCAGCCCCAGACTATCCCAGGACCTCCAAAGCTCCGGACCTCCAGCACAACCCATGATCCCAGACATTTGTGTGCCCCTGGACCAGTCTGTACCCCCAGAGAACCCATAAGGTAGATAGAAAGACAGATAATAGTTGTGTCTGACTCTGTGTGACCCCATGGACTGTAGCCCGCCAGGCTCCTCTGTCCATGGGATTCTCTAGGCAAGAATCCTGGAGTGGGTTGCCATGCCTTTCTCCAGGGGATCTTCCCCACCCAGGGATCCAACCCAGGTCCCCTGGATTGCAGGCAGATTCTTTACTGTCTGAGCCACCAGGAAAGCCCCAGAGAAACCTTGTGTCTCTGATCACAGCCTGAGGCCCGAGACCCGGATGGTGACTCTGGACACAGTTGGTGCCTCAGACAGCCTGTGACTCCCCAGAAACGCCCCCACCCCCCGAGACAGTCTGCTCCCTTAGAGAAAGACTCTGGGTTCCCGATGTCAGCTTGCTCTTCCCACTCTGGAGACAGCCTGCGGCCCGACCCCGCAGGCCCTGGGGAGGCAGCCTGTCTTGACGCCTACCCCAGAACACAATCTGCTGTTCCCTCCTACCGAGTCCACTAAGACAGAGCTCTCAGGAGACACCTCCCACCTCCCGGGGCAGCCCTCCTGCTTCCTGGGAGATCTTTCACCTCGCGTCCTCAGACTGGACACTCCAGCCCCCCTCGCTGTCTCTTCCAGACACCCCCACAGCCCTCACTTTCCCACAGAGTGGCTCTTTCACCCCCAGCCCTGACAGAGAGCTATCCCATACCTCTCACTCTCCCAGACAGGACATGCCATGCCCTAAACTTATACCAGTGGAGACACCCTATACCCCCTGGGAACGGAGATGAGATCTCACTCCACCTCTACTGACCCAAGGAAACTATCTGACAACCCTCAGAGCCCATTTAGAATGTTGCATGCTTAATTGCCCGCACGACATCGCCAACCCGCTTTCCTCTCCAAAGGATTGTCTTATCATCTCGTGTGTGTGTTCAGTTGCTTTAGTTGTGTTCAACTCTTTGCAACCCCATGGACTGTAGCTGCCAGACCCCTCTGTCCATGGAATTCTCCAGGCCAGAATACTGGAGTGGGTTGCCATTCCCTTCTCCAGGGGATCTTCCTGACCCAGGGATGGAACCCAGGTCTCCCGCATTGCAGGCGGATTCTTTATACACACCCTTGATAGCAAAATGGGATGCCACACGCCTTTGTTCTGAGATACCCACCCACTCAGTGTGCAGACGGGCTCTTTCTCACCCCGCAGAGTCTCAAGCAGATGTTCCCAAATTTTTGAGAAATGGGGTGCTCTGGTGAAAAAAAAAAGTGTTAGATGTTGTAAATTAAATATGCTCTAATAAAAAAATTTTGATAGAGATAAAGTCAGAAATATGTATTAGATGCTTATGTAGTGAGTGCCTGGCTCTGTCATAAGTATTTCATCTGCATTAACTTATCAATCCTCATAGCAACCCTGCAAGTAGTTATTATCATCCCAACCCCTATAATCTAATAAAAAATTTTGATAGAGATAAAGTCAGAAATATGTATTAGATGCTTATGTAGTGAGTGCCTGGCTCTGTCATAAGTATTTCATCTGCATTAACTTATCAATCCTCATAGCAACCCTGCAAGTAGTTATTATCATCCCAACCCCTATATGTAGTTATTATCATCCTCAAAATGAAGAGCAAGAAGTGTATGTAAATAGATCCGGACTTCCATGATGGTCCAGTGGTTAAGACTCCACACTGCCAATGCAAGGGGCACAGGTTCAATCCCTGTTTGGGGAACTAAGATCCCACACATCACTGTTATGCAGCAAAAAAAAAATTTAATTTAAGTATATGCAATTGGAAAAGAACTGAAGTTTTGTTTTGTTTTGTTTTTTAAGAGAGAGAGGAAGAAATATGAATGGCTCCATCTAAGCAACCAGGCTAGTCATATGGGGTTTGAACCCTGGTCATCTTGTTCTTAACAACCACAATATACTGCATCTCATTAGTCTGTAAATATGCCCCAGAGGTCCTCACTGCACTGGATGGGATGTCCCATCCCACCTAACTGCATACTCTGGGGTCCTTCACATCCCTTGATGTCTCCCTAATGATCAGAAAGGGCTTCAACTTTCTTAAAGGACCATCCCCATCAGCCCACAGTCCTGACCCTTCAGAGGACATCTCCCAGCTTTCAAGGTTTCAGAAATATCCCACACATCTCATAGCCCATCAAAGGACATCCCCAAGCGGGGATGACCCATATCCCACTCTTTTTCCAAATGAGATGTACCATAGCCTCTGAGATAAGAGGCAAGATAATCTAAATAATTAGCAGCCAAAATGGGGTGCCAGATAGCCCATACTCTCTCAGAAGATGTACCACGCCCTCTCACTCTCTAGATGAGACTTTCCTTTTCCCTTGCAGAGGAAGACTGCGTTTCTCCCCCCACCACTACAGACAGCATCCTTGCCCTTTGCTCCACTGCACAAAGCACCTTCTGCTTCTTGCTGTTGCAGAATCAGGATTCACTGCTCCAGCCAGGATATGTCATGACCTTCTCCTTCCCTCCAAGTACCAGGCGGAGTGTCCACATCACCTCACCTGACTCGGGAGCTTACCTCTTGTCCTTCAGCATCCCTCTTCAGTTTGAAAAGTTGCTTCCCACTTCCCAAGACCACCTGCCCTCTTTCCTGTTTCCTCCCCCCCTCTTATTTGCAACCTCTCTCCTCCCCTCTCATCCTTCTTCTGCTCAGTTTCCCCATCTGTGGAATGAGAAAGCTGATTCTAGGTGTGTTCTATGGGAAATTCTGGCTTTAAAATGCAACTTAGAAAGCATCTTCCCCCCCACCCAAAGTGTGGGGTTCCTTAAACTTCAAGTGCACAGAGTTAGATGAATCATAACTTTTCAGCTTATGTCACAAAATCATTACCAGCCTTTGCTGGTTCTTTCTTGTGCATTATTTTACATTCTTTTTTTTAAAATTTATTGTTCCTAGTTCATCTCTTTAATGCATTGGATATATATTTTAACTTGGAAAATATACAGTGTTATTTTTATATATGTATTTTAATTTACATAAATGATATCATGCTCTAGATTTTTTTCCTATTTGTGATTTTTTTTTTTTTTTGCTCAATGCTGTGTTTCTCAAATCTCTCCAATCTAATTTGTTATTCTAGTTCGTGGCTACTTTGTGCTGCAGAGGCTTGCCTGGGGAGCATCTATCACATTTACTTCTCTGTTCCCATCGAGATGGACACTAGGTTGATTATTCTGACTCCCTGTTTTTATAAAGTGTTGCAATGAACAGCAGGCAATACATGTATTTTCCTGCATATGGTTTTTTTCTGGATATATACCCAGAAGTGAAATTGCTGGGCTGCAGGGTATAAACATACTTCATTTCATAAAGTACTCCAAAGTGCTTTCCAAAAGAGGCCAGTACCTATTACACCCCCAGATGTTTCCTCTTATCCTTCTTATCCTTCTAAGTGCTTAATATTATCCTTTTAATATTTGCCAATCTAATTGATCTAAAGTGGCATCTCCCTGCTGATTTAAGTTGCATTTCTTTGATCCCCGTTGAGATGGAGCATCTCTTTATGTTCTTGTGAGTAATCCGGGCTTCTCCTATGAACTGACTATTCATCTCCTTTGCCCATTTTTCTACTGGGTTCCCTCTCTTTTCTTGCTGATCAGCAGGGGTTCTTTGTGCAGTCTAGACAGGAAACCTTTCTGAGGTAGAGAATCTCTTCTGAATGTGTTAACCTTCTGCCTGGATCTTGGTATGCTCTGTTGAATAAAGCGGTTATCCGTTTCAAATCTCATTTGACCCTAAACAAGCCATATGACAGAGTCAGGGAAGAGACTATTAACTCACTTTACAGAGGAAGAGTCAGAAGCTCAGAAAGGTCAGTAGCCCTCTCACGGCCACAGATCTGGACTTTTCAGCTCTGGATTGGAGTCCCAGCTCCTGGATAGCTGTGTGATAGCAGGTGGTTTTCCTTTTCTGGACATCATTTCTCTCTATCAGGGATGCTAATGTCATATTTCTGGGTTATTGTGAGCTTTGCTAAATGTCCAGCCCTGAGCTTACACTAGAGATCTCCATGTCATTACCTCTCTTTTTCTCTCCCCTGCTCCTACAGAAGCAAATTGCACTTATTTTAAATTCTTCACCACGGGAGAGAATGCACACATCTTCCAGAGAACCACAAAGAAAGGTAAGACCATTTCACCCAGCAGAGGGGATGTGCTGACCACACCAAAGGTATTCTTTTCTTTTTAAATTGACACAGAGCTTGTTTACAATATTGTGTTGGTTTCAGGGGTACAGCGAAATGATTCCATTATTTTTTTCAGATGATATTCCCTTATTTATTAGAAGGTATTGATTATACTTCTCCATGCTGGACAATAAGTCCTTGTTGGCTATCTACTTTATGTACAGTAGTTTGTATGTTAGTCCCAGAGGAGTTCTTGATAGCATCATGCTCTTCTCTGCTTTGCCGCAGGATGGACACAAGCTCCTAAGCCTTGGGAGGTCTCACCTTTGGGGAGAGGTGGTTCTTCAGAACCCTCTGTCCAGGGTTCCCGCCTCAGCTCCGCCTTTGCCACATGCTGTGTTACTTTGGGCAAGTCCCAGCCCCTCTCTGTGGGCAGTACAATAACATCTCACAAGTGTGATTTCCCACACGCTAAACACAGCCCTGAGGGTTTCATTTATAAGACTTCCAGTCCTTTCCATGACTCTGCAAGACAGGGGCTCTATCTTAATCTTCCAGATGAGAAAACGGAAGCCCATAAATGGTTTATTTTCCCAGGAAGTGACAGAGAGAGGCACAATTTAAACCCAAATAATTCCAACTCCAACTCAGTGCTCTTCTATAAAGCATGCTGTGAAAATGGAAATGTTTCTGAATCTGTACTAACTAGTATGGCAGCCACTGACCAAATGTGGCTGGTGCAACTAAGACACTGAGTTTTCACTTTTGTTCCATTTAAATTCATTTCAAACGAAAACACCATCTGTGGTTACTGGCTACATACTAAACAATGAAACTCTTAAGACTTTACCCTTTCTACCATAACCACAGTTTCTCCACCACCCCAGTACCTCGGCATCCTCACCAGTAAAGGAACTGTGATCATGTCATCAACCTTATCTGGTCTTTATAAGGATTTAATGAGATGATGCAGCTAAAACATACAATATGATGCCNCTTGAAAATTCTTCTCTAGTCCTGACTCTTTCGTATTCCTGGTTCTGAGTGCCTATAGGGGAGTTCCGCCCACTTCCTACATCCAGTGTTGTCTATTTCCCCTCCCCTTCCTCGCAGAGGTGAATCAGGCAGCTGCAGTGATAGCAGTGCTAGGCTTGGCAGTTATGGCCCTGGGGTGCCTCTGTATCATCATGGTGCTCAGCAAAGGTGCAGAGTTCCTGCTCCGGGTTGGAGCCGTCTGCTTTGGCCTCTCAGGTGAGGGTTGAGAGCCTACAGACCAAGGATACTGCATGCTAGGAGATCTGGACTTCAACCCCTGTTGCATGCTGGGAGGTCGGGTCTTCAAGACCTGTTGCATGCTGGGAAACCAGGTCTCCAAGCCCTGCTGCATGCTGGGAGGTCAGGTCTCCAAGCACCATTGCATGCTGGGAGGTCGAGTCTTAAAGCACTTAAAGTATTGCATGCTGGGCAGTTGTGTTTCCAAGCACTGTTGCATTCTGGGAGGTCGAGGGAGGTCTCTAAGCACTGTTGCACATTAAGAGATCAGGTCTCCAAGCACTGTTGTGTGCTAGGAGTTGGCAGAAGCTCAAATGCTATAGAACTCTCAGAGATGGAAGAGTTCTAAGTTCTGCTGCTGACTCAAACACTTTTTTATATTGGAACCTAGGGCCTCCAAGCACTGCTGTCTGCTCGCAGGGTGAGGGAGATCCCCATGGGCTGTTGCATGCTGGGAGGTTGAAGAAGTTCTCTAAGCACTGATTGCATGCTGGGAAGCACAACGGCTATAGTACTCTTAAATATGAGAAAATTCCAAGCACTTTTGTTGGCCGAGAACTGAAGGTTCTCTAGACACGATTTTAGATTTGCACTTGGAGTCTGTAAGAACTGTTGCATTTTTGGAGTTGAAAGTCCAAAAAGTCTGCATCTTGTGAAATGTAGCCCTCACTGGATCAGATGCTTTCTAAGGTAGATAGATAGGTCATTCATTATATAAGTTTCATTTGTCTTTCATGGATCTACTGAGCACCTACTATGTTCCAGGCAGTAGGCTAAGGGCTGGAGATATAAGATTCATAAGACAGACACTGTGTCTGCCTTCATAAAGCCTAGATTCTAACAGAAATAGATAGTAACCAGCAATTACATATATAATTCAACTATAGTTGTGATGAGAGTTATGATAAAGCATATAAGGGGTACACACTGGGGTGGGAGGTATGTCAGGGAAAATTCCTGAGAAAGTGATATTAAAGCTGATAATCAAATGAGGAACAGAAATTACCCAGAGTATGGTGTTGACAGTAGTGGTGGCCATGTTGGTGGTGATTGTGTGGTGGTAGTGATGCTGGTAATATGGTAATAGTGATGATAAACTGTATGTGTGAAGTCTGTGAAATATTTGGCAAGTTTGAGGAACAGAATGAAGAACAGAGCATAAAGCAGGGCAAAGTTTGCACAAATGTACAAGGTAACCTTAATCCGAAGATGAAGTAGAGACTTGGTGAAAAATGAGGCAAGGGAGATATGAGTGGTCAAGAGCACACTCAAATAGAAATGACTAATAATCACATTCTTCAAAACTATTCACTCATTAGACTGTGTCAGGTCTCAGTTGTGGCACCTGGGATCTTTCACTGCAGCTCACAGATGCTCTAGTTGTGGCATTCGGGCTTGATTGCTCTACACAAATGGGGTCTTAGTTCCCCAACCAAGAATCAAATCCACATCTCCTGCATTGCAAGGCGGACAACCAGGGAAGTCCCAGTAATCACATTCTTATTATTGTTTTGTGCCTTAGAGAGCTTCCTAAATAAAGGGGGGAAAGTCAGTCACTCCCTGTCCTTTGTTTGATTTATCCATTAGTTCACTTAAATCACTGCTATGCACACAGACGCATTACACTATGCATATGTGTGAAGACTATACAAGAAGGAAAGGTTAAGGAGATTATCATCTGGCTAAGGACACAGAAATGATACAAATTATCACACAGTTATAAATGGCAATCAGTGCCCAAGAAAAAGTAGAGTCCTGTGAGAGTGCGTAATGAGGGCACTTGATTTAAAGCAGAATTAGAGAAGGCCTCTTGGAGGAGGTGACACTTACAATGTCAAAGTATGTGTAACCAAGCTAGAAAAACGTTTGGTGAATTTCAGGTCCTAAAATACAGCCAGTGAGGTTGGAGCATGGAGAGTGAGGATACTGGTATAAAAGACAAACCAGGAGGGATTTTCCTGGTGGTCCAGTGGTTAAGATTCCATACCCCCAAGCGGACCAGGGTTCGATCTCTGGTCAGGGAAGTAGACCCCACATGCCACAACTAAGGTTTCACATGCCACAACTAAAGAGCCCACATGCCGCAACTGAAGACCCAGCACAGCCAAGAAACTATTAAGAGATGAGTGATTTTGAGGAAATTGCTTTCCATCTCTGAGTTAAAATTTCATATTTATGAACTCATGCATTCAAGTATATATTTATCAAGTACCTATCCTATCCATCCATCCATCTTTACTCTGATCTGTCAATCATCTCCCTCCCCACTGCCTTTTCTTCCTTGCTTCCCCCCCATTTTTCTCTTTCTCCTTCCATTCATATATTCGTCTATCTGTCCATCCATCCATTCATTCAATGATACAGTATGTCTTTAATATCTAGTAATTGCTGGATGCTGTGTTAGGTACTACTGGGGACAGAATGAAGACCAGATTAAGATGATTCCTGTTGTCATGGGACTTTCAGCTTGGTAGGAATTTGGTATTGGTGTTATTATTGAACTCATGCCTGTGTTATTCCTGAGGGTACCATGAAAGTGTGGACATTAAAGTGTTTTATGAAAGTCTCGGGCCCAAAAATGTTCTGCAAATTGTACAACCAAGTAAAAGTGAAGGATAGATTTGACTCCACAGTTATTTTTCTTATACTGGATATCGGGGCAGGTGGGGGTTTCGAGGTCTCCCTAGACCTCACACATGTTCAGGTTATATTGTTTTTCTCCATAAAGTAAATGTGTCAGATATACTATGTTTTAGGGATATGAAACAAACAAGTTCCTGGCCCTCACAGGTTTATACTCTATTGGGAGTGATAGAAATCAGGCAAATAAATAACAGTTATATAAATTAACATATGTTAATAATTACCAATTGTGATTAATGCTATAAATGAACAGTACAGAGTATAATGGAAACCTGTAACTGGGTAGACCCAACAGAGACTTAAGTGGTGGTGGTCAGGGAAGGCTTCTCGGAAGAAGTGTAACTTAAGTAGGGATGTAGAGAATGAGGATGTATGATGTTGGCTTAGGGAGGGGTAAGCAGTTATTCCAAGCACCACAAAGGTCTCCAGGCTTGAACAAACTGGGTGCATTCAAGTCCTGAAAGAAATCTTACACCATACCACTGTAGGATGGGAAGGGCAGCTTGAGAGGAGGCTGAAGAAGTAGGCCAGGGCCGGGTCCCATGGACCCTTCTAGGTCGTACGAAAGAGGCCTTGCTTCTGCCCCTAGCCACCACCCCTGAGTTCTGGGCACAGCTGGCTTCTTTTCATCCATTTGGGTCTCAGCCCAAGTGGCTGTTCTGATGATGCCATCTCGAGTCCCAGCCCCCGCCCCTGGATGCCACACCCCTTCCCATCACTCTGTTTTTATCTCCTTCCTAGTGTGCATCACTGTCTGAAATTACCCTGTCTTCTCATGTGTTTACTTTGAGAGTTACAGCCTGCCTGCCCACAGGCCAGCAACAGCCCATAAATGTACTTTGTCTGGCGGGCAGTGTATAGAGGTTTCTCTGAGCCAGTATTTAAACTCACCCAATATTTGGGGTGAATGCCCCCCAGGAAATAATAATCAGTTTTCAAAATTCTAGCTGTTCTTGGAAAACCAGAAAATCTAGTCCGTTAAGTCCCTGCTTCTGGTGAGCTGCCGTTGGCTGAAGCTGGGTCTGGGCCACCCTTTGTCATTGTCCCCACTACACCTGCCTGCTCATCTGTTTGTACTTTCTCTTTGTCCCCTGGAGGCCTCTGACTTTTGCAAGCCTGGGTTTATTTGTTTACCATCTGCCTTCTCCAAGTAGAACATAGGTTCTGTGAGGGTCTTTGTTGGTCTTGTTCCTTTCTTTTTTTTTTTTTAATCAAATTGCATTACAACTTGCCTGTTGTCTTTTCATTTTGTAATCTGCCATCACTCTTTTTTCTTTTCAGCTTAATTGGCATATGAGTGACAAGTATAAATTATGTGCATATATACATATAGACACTTTATATGGGCTTCCATGATGGCTCAGACAGTAAAGAATCTGCCTGCAATGCCAGAGATCCGGGTTTGATCCCTGGGTCAGGAAGATCCCCTGGAGGAGGGCATGACAACCCACTCCAGTCTTCTTGCTTGGAGAATCCCATGGACAGAGGAGCCTGGTGGGCTACAGTCCGTGGGGTCGCAGAGAGACAGGACTGAACACACAGCACGGCACATACATATATATACACGCTGTTGTATATAAGGTGTGTTATGTTGCTGGGTTTTCGTTTGTTCGTTTTGTTTTTTAGCCACACTGTGTGACTTGCAGGATCTCAGTTCCCTGACCAGGGATTGAACCTGGGCCATGGCAGTGAAAGCGCCAAGTGCTAACCACCACGCCACCCAGGAACTCCCCTCCCACTTGATATTTTGATATACATCATAAAATGGTCATGACTATCAAGCTAGTTGACACGTGCATCACCTCACATACTAATCGTTTGTTGTTGTTGTTGTTGTTTTCTAGCAAAAACATTTGAGATCTCTCTTAGCAAGTTTTACGTATTTGGTGTATTAACTATAGTCACCTATGCTATGCTTAGTCGCTCAGTCGTGTCCGACTTTTTGTGACCCCATGGACTGTAGCCTGCCAGGCCCCTCTGTCCATGGAATTCTCCAGGCCACAATGCTGGAGTGGGTAGCCTTTCCCTTCTCTGGGAGATCTTCCCAACCCGGGGATCGAACCCAGTCTCCCACATCGCAGGCGGATTCTTTACCGTCTGAGCCCCCAGGGAAGCCCATGGTCACCATACTGTACAGCAGACCTCCAGAACTGATTCCTCTTGCAGCTGGAAGTTTGTACCCTCTGATCAGCATCTCCTCGTTCCCCCCTCCCCTCAGTCCCTGGCCACCACCGTTCTACTCTCTGCGTCTGTGGCTTCAACTAAGTTAGATTCCATCATCACTCTTCACTAAAGTCTTGATGGAGTCTCTCTTTTTTAAAATTATTTTTACTTATTTATTTATTTGGCAAAAGGAGAAGGGGGCAGTGGAGGATGAGATGGTTGGATGGCATCACTGACTCAATGGACTTTAATTTGAGCAAGCTCCAGGAGATAGTGAAGGACAGGGGAGGCCTGGCGTGCTGCAGTCCATGGGGTCGCAAAGAATCAGACACGACTTGGCGGCTGAACAACAACGACAGCAGTTATCTGGCTGTGCCAGGTCTTAGTTGCGGCATGTGGGATCCAGTTTCCTGACCAGGAGTCCAACTCCAGGCACACTGCACTGGGAGCGTGCAGTCTCAACACTGGACCACCAGGGAAGTCCCTTGATGGAGTCTTAATTTGCCTTTTGATTCTTGATTTTGTGACTCTTGATTCCTTGGTTTGCTTTATTCTTTTTTTTTTAAGCAGTGAAAGACACATAAAAATTACCATTTGAACCTTTTTTTAAAAAAAAACTTTATTTTCTATTTTGACAATGCAGCGCAGCATGCAGGGTCTTATTTCTCTGACCAGGGATCGAACCCACGCTCCCTGCACTGAAAGCATGAGTCTTAAGCATTGAACTACCAGGGAACCCTGCACCATTTTAAGTGCCCACTTCTGTGGCGTAAGTTCATTTACACAGTCATGCAACCATCCCCACCACCCATCTCCAGCACTTTAGCATCTTCTCCAGTTAAAACTCTCTCCCCATTAAACACGAACTCTCCGCTCCCCCTTCCTCTCCCCGGGCACCCACCTTCTACTCTGTCTCTGTGAACCTGGGTCTTGTTCTTTCTCTACGGCTTCCAAAACTGTGCCTGCTATAGAGCAGATGCTTCGTAAGTGGTCGTTGAAGGGGTGCTAGTGAAACCACAGAAATATGTCTCGGGTCGGGGGCACTGGGAGGCTCCAGTCCTTGATATCTCAGTGCTGAAGGAATTCAGCAGGAGGCAAAGTGATGGAGGAGAAGTGATCTAGTAGAATAGCACGCTTGTAAGGCTTGTAAGTGGGCAGTTGAGAGGGTGCCCGTGCTGAGAACTTAGTGGGCTACAGTTTTATAAACAAGAGAAAAGTGGGGAGGGGAAGAGGATCCCCTGCTCCCTCATTCCTAAGTCCACGTCCAGCTTCCACCATCAGCTCCTCCTCCATGTCAGGGAGTTTTCTTGTCCCTACATTGTCAAACCCTGGGTCGGGACGATCCCCTGGAGGAGGGCATGGCAACCTCCTTCAGTGTTCTTGCCTGGAGAATCCCATGGACAGAAAAGTCTGGCAGGCTAGAATCCACGGAGTTGCAAAGAGTCAGACACGACTGAACAACTAACACACACACACACACACACGGTCAGAGGAGGACTGTCACAGTGCAATGGAAATGAACAAAAAGGTGGTAACATCCACTAAAATAAGGTAAAAGTCCTCAGGTTTCAGCATAATGTCCCCTCTTCTTCATATTTTTGCTTTTGGTGCACGTGCCCGGAGAAGCGTGTCCTAGGGTCATTAACTTCCTGAGCCCACTGGGCAGGATGTGGGTCTCAGGCCACCACTGTTTTATTCTGTGTGGGCATGTCTCATGCTGCATGGTTTGATTGCTCAGCAAGCCTGCTTGGTTTTGGTTTTGTGGTTAAGCAAACCTGCTTTTTTTTTTTTTTTGGCTGTGCCATACAGCTCACAAGGATCTTAGTTCCCTGACCAGGGATCAAACCCACGAGCCCTGCAGTGGCAGCCTGGAGTCCTAACCACTGGATCTCCAAGGAATTCCCTGGCATGTCTTCTTGAATGGTCGTTAACTTACAGGGGTCTCCCAAACATTCTCCTTTACTCCTGATCCCCTGGGGGGATTACCTGTTCAATCACCTCCTCTGTCCCTTCTCTCCGCCCCGTCACTAGGAGGGGTCCCTCAGGTTTCCGGCCTGAGGAAGCATGTTTTGGGGGCTATATTGGGGTAGGTGCTCAGGCCTCAGTGGGGGACCCCTGAGGCCTGAGGACCATGTCTGTTCTCCTCTCCTCGCAGGCCTGCTGGTCCTCGTCAGCCTGGAGGTCTTCCGGCATTCCGTGCGAGCCTTGATGCAGAGGGTCAGCCCCGAGCCCCCCGCGGCCCCGGCCCTGACCTACGAGTACTCCTGGTCCCTGGGCTGTGGCGTGGGGGCCGGCCTGGTCCTGATGCTGGGCGGTGGCTGCTTTCTGCTGCTCACCCTGCCTCCCGGACCCTGGAGTCCCCTCTGTCCCAAGTGGGGCCAGCGGGCCCCCTAGCGCCACCGTCATGCCTTCTCTCAGCAACTTCCCAATGCCCCTCCACCCTCCCCATCATCCCCTTTGCATCTTTCACCCCATGCCCCAGAGAGACTGTGTTCTCCGGACTATGGGGCCCACGCTGTTTGCATAAACCTGCCTCTCCCCCTCGTAAATACCTTTTTCCTCTGTAAATATGTTTTATTTTCCTCCATGGCTGGATTTGGGTTGCTTGGGGGTGGGACGGGGAGAGGATATTTTTTTGCAAACGAGGGTCCCCAGGGAAGACTGCTGGGGGCCTGATGGGGTAACTAGGGGGTGGGGGTAGGTGGGCGAGGTCAGGGGGTCTTGGGACGGAGTTGGACCTTCTCGTTGCCCAGACTGGGATGTATTCAGCTGCGGGAGAGACTTCTGGGGAGAGTGGGAATGGGAGAATCTCTGGGCCTGACCCGGCTGTGGTCTGATTTGGGATTAAAGGTTTGGAAGTTTAACAACTTTGGAGTCTGCTGTGATGTGGGGTGTGTATTCCAGGGTAGGGAATACACCCAAAGGGGTCACTGTGCTCTTCAGAAAACCTGCACCTGCTGCTCATCAGCCCCAAAGTCACGTGTCAGTGAACCCATAGTGAGTAATGGAAAACCCAATGTGGAACACATTGGAGCCCGCCAGGCTCCTCCGTCCATGGTCTTCTCCAGGCAAGAATACTGGAGCGGGTGGCCATGCCCTCCTCCAGGGGATCCTCCAGACCCGGGGATCGAACCCCGGTCTCCCGCGTTGCAGGCGGGTTCTTTACCATCTGAGCCTCTTGGAAAGTCGCCTGGTGTCCTCGTGTGGGGAGGAGACCGGGACGCTGAGGGCGGACAGCAGGCAGGCAAGGTGAGGAGACACAGGGAGAAGACGACCGTCTCCAAGTCCAGGAGGGCTGCCTGGGAGAGTCCCGTCTCAGCACCGGGGAGCCAGCGGCCCTGCGGACGCCCGGACCTCAGGCCTCCGGTCTCCAGCGCCCCGAGACAGAGCATTTCAGGGCCTAAGCCCCCTAAGCCCCCAGTCTGGGGGCTTTGTCAGGGCCGCCCCAGCAAGCGGGCACAGCTGTCAGTGCCCGGCAGGGGGCCTCAGCGGGAACAAACGCCTACAAATGTACACGTGGCTTTGGACGTGGGGATGGGCAGCATCTGGAGGCGCTTGGAGGCGCGTTCTAGAATCAGCCTAGATGACTTGATGAGACCGTTGGTAGGAGTACGACGTGAAGGGAATCCTGAGGAGGACTCGGGAAGAGGGGAGGAGAGCTGCGGAGAAAGTGTCCACCATCTCAGAGACACTCGATCACCAGGAGCGGGACGTTGGCGGAAGACGGCCCCCCACAGCTCTCAGGGAGCAGGCCAGGAGCCCGGTGTCAAGTTCGAGCCTTGAGCCCGCGGGCCCAGCCTCTTCCCGGGAGGACCAGTGTGCGCCTTTCGACTCAGAAATCTCAACTGGAGCCAAGAATGAATTCTTCAGTTAGGTAGGCTGAATCGCTGAGGCTGAGCTCAGAGGCCAAAGTCTCTTAAATTTAAGTTTAAAAATATTTAAATACGGAATATGAGCTGACTTATGACTACAAATGTTTAAATATTGTGAGTGTGAGTCTCTTAAGTGCTTCTATATTTAAGAATAAATTATAATGTGATTATGTATAATATATGTATTACATAAAACATTATATATAATTTATAGAATTTACTCTAAGTTCAGTTAAATATATTAACAGTATATATATTTTATGTGTAATATATATATAATTAAAGAAATATTATAAATTAACATACTTAATATAAACAGAAAATAATATAATATAAAATTATAACATAATATAATATGAAATTATATATAATATATACCAGCATTATATATGATTATAACATAATAAGCAGATTTTATACTAATATTATGGATATCATATATTATATATTCATATAAATGTTTCTATATTTATTTATAGATTATAAATACAATTATATAATCATATATAATTATAACATTATAATTTTATATAAATATATTAATATTCTATCATATTATATAAATAGAGCATTCATAAGATACATACATGTAACAATATTTCTACAACATAATGTATTATATAAATAATGTAATTTACATGTAACATATGAATATATTACTTATATTTGTAATGTTATTTATACAATATAACCTATATACATATAATACCTATATATATGATATATTTATACAATGTAATTAGACACATATAACACATATATGTACCATGATAATTACACTGCATAAGTCTTATAATGTTCATAACGTGGTTATGACTCATCCCCGGGCTGGAAGCCGCTTCTTCAACAGCAGATCGCTCGTCCTCCAGGAGGGGCGGTGTAGCCCTCTCTGGAATAACTTCGGCTGCGCCCCGCAGGGATCCTTCTCCGCGTTCCTTGCGCCCTGAATCAGAGTGGTGCTGAGGGTCCTGGTGCAGAGCCGGGCAGGTGCGGCCCCTTCTTGTTGGAGCAGCAGCAATGCTGGGCTGTGGCCGAGAGTGGGGCGCTGGGCCCCGACTGTCCGGTGTGGACCCTGGCCCCCCTTTCACGGCTGGAACGGCTTGCTCACCCTCTGAGGCTCAGCTCCCGCATGCACGTGTGCTTGCGTGCCTCTTAGAGACCCCCATGGAGGGAATGCCGCAGTCATCCCTGCAAAGCCCTGGAAGACCGCCAGGCACGGGTCACAACTCCATCGGTCTTGCCGTTACTACTGTTCATCCCGTGGCACTTCGGCCGGGCGTACAGTAGAGAGTCAAAGGGGACCCCCGTTGGGCTGAGATGTTTCCAGCGATGGAAACATATTAATCATGTAATCACACTAATGAATTGTAATTATAAACTGGGATAAGTGCTGGGAAAAGAGACATCGTGGATAGTTGGTTTTTTTCCTACTTGATGATGTGCCCAGAGAACTCGGGGAAACCCAGAGAAGTCTGCCCTGAGGGCGGGGTCTTCAGGTCTCAGGGGGATGGGGGAATGACTCTGTCCAGTGGGCTCCGAACCCTGCACCCTCTTCCCACCTGGGGTCTTTGTGGCTTTTCCAAAAGTGAGAGAAGGAAATAGACAAATACCTGGAATCACATTATACTGTGGGATAATTTATCAGACCGTTCACTTGCATCTCATCACCTCATATTTTTTGAAGTGAAGGAAAATAGAAGTTTCTTGAAGTCTACCACCTTTTCTGTCCTTTTTGTTTACATGCTGTTTATACTGACTTTTTGGAGCACAATTTCAAGCTTCCAGAGACGTTGCAAGAATCAAAACAGTGCATGCATGTGTGCTCACTCATGTCTGACTCTTTGCGACCCCATGGACCATAGCCTGCCAGGGTCTCCTGTCCATGGGATTCTCCAGGCAAGAATACTGGAGGAGGTTACCATTTTCTCCTCCAGGGGATCTCCTTGACCCAGGGATTGAACCTGCATCTCTTGCATCTCCTGTTTTAGCAGATGGATTCTTTACCACTGCACCACCTGGGAAGACCCCTAGAGACATATACTCTTTACTCAGATTCGCCTATTGCTAACATTTTACCCTAAGTCCAGATGTGTGGGGTTTGTGTGTAGGGGGGTGGTTTTTTAATTCAGCAAGCATTTATTTTTAAATGTGAAGTGCAAATCTCAGAACCCAGGCTGAGAAAAAGAGCTAGTCTCTTGGAAACTGCTGGTATTTCCTCATTAACATCCCCCCTTCAAGGCACAAGTCTCACAGGTAAACAAGCACAACTTGAATTTTTACTGAATCATTTCTTGACTTTTCTTTATAGTTTTATAAGCCAAAATTCTATTATTTTTTGAAAGGTGTTGTTTCATTTTACTTATGTTTGAACTTTAAGTAAATAGAATCATTTTATATGTATTTCTCTGTGTGATTGTCTTTTTTTTTTTTTTAGGCCCAAAGAAGAAGATTCAAACTCATGGCCAGAAGGCTTGATAAGGCCCGCAGAAGTGTTTTATTTAGCCTTCAAAATGTTTACTAAGTTTTTTATTTACAACCAACTGCAGTTACAAAACACCCGGTGGTGGGGAGGAATTCCAGAGTTCCAAAAAGCAAGACTTGCATTTGCCAAGGCAGGCAAGTATTTACATACCATTTACATTGTATTTACAACTCTTTACATAGTATTTACACGGCGTCAGGTGATCATAAGTAATCTAAGGATTATTTAAAGGGTAAGGGAGGATTTGTGTAGGTTCTGTGTGAATACCGTGCCACTTGAATAAGAGACTTGCGCGTCCGTGCGCTCCGGTGTCCGTGGTGGGTCCCAGTCCTCTCAGACAGGGGTGAGTACGGGAGGACCCCGTCCCAGTCTCAGGAGGCAGCCTGTGCGCAGGCAAGTCACTTCGCTTCACACCGCCCAGTTTTCTCCTCTGACAAGTAGGGCTAATAGTGTTACCTACTTCGTGGTGCTGTTGGCGAGATTAGTGAGTTAATCCATGTAAAGTCTTTTGTTGCTGTTTTTTGGACCCATGGCTTGTGGGATCTTAACCCGCACTCTTGGCAGTGGAAGCGCAGAGTCCTAACCACTGGACCTCCCTCCTGGGAATCCCTTCCTTGTAAAGTTTTTGGTAGAAGACCTCTTGTATAGTTAAGTGCTCAATAAATGTGAACTTCTTTCTTTTTTGTTTTTTAGTATTTTGGCCACGATGCACAACAGATAGGATCTCAGTTCCCTGACTGGGTATCGAACCTGCATCCCCTGCAGTGGAAGCACAGAGTCCTAACCACTGGACCACTAGGGAAGTCCCAATAAATGTTAACCACTGATGGCGGTAATGCATAGTGCTGCATATAATAAGTGTGTAAGCGGTGGCTTTTTTCCTGTCATAGTCCATCATTTAATCTCTCTTTCCCCACCTCGTCCTCTGAGGGTTCTGGCAGGCACCAGACTCTAACTTTAGCCACGATTGGACGGAGGCCCACTGATCCATGGGAGCTGGAGATGTAGTAGAAGGTTTCCTAGCAACAGAGGAGTTTGGGTGGACAGCAGCAAACTCCCTGAGTGGTTCCCTCAGAGGAGGAATGTAGGCAGGATTGAATCTATTTGAGGCAAAACAGGAGGAGATTGACAAGGGCCACCCAGAGTGTTGGTTTCTGAGGAGTGTCTCAGTCCTGCTCCCCAGAGCTCCTGGACACGGTCCATCACCTTCTCTTCTCCTCTGCTTCTCACCCCCTCTGCCTTCTCCTTTTCTTTCCTCCTCTCTCCTCCTTCCCTCTTCCTCCTCCTTCTTCCTCTTCTCTTACTATTATCACTGAAAATAATAACAGCTAAACATGTGCAAAGTGCCTCATCTCTGCCAGGCACTGTCCTCAGTGTTCTGCATGGATGCATCTAGACCTCACGACCCTGGGAGATGCTCCTGCTATTATCCCACTGAGCAGATGAGGAAAACCGAGGCACAGCCAGCTCAAGGGAGCCCAGCTGAGAATGGCCAGAACCACACCTCAGGGTT